GTGTGAATTTTGGTGATAGAACTTGCTTTGTCTATAGTTCTGGACGTTTTGTTCAAGAAGGAAATGACAGTAAAGATGAATAGAAGAGGGAAAGGGAGAAATAATAAAGCAAAGTAATGAAAAAGAAAAGAAGCACGAAAGAACTTAGTATAAAACGAAGAGAAGTAAAGCAATTGTTTGTGAAAGGGGAAAATGTTTCCCTTCATAGTTAGAATTCCCGCTGGTTCTGATACTCCCCTTTCCGTCCCTAAGTCAGTAAACAGAATGATAACAAGAAATGGCTTTTGTTGTTTCTCACAAAATAGGTCATCCAGCCACTCCCTGGCTGATATTTTGTTCCTTTGATTTAAATGCCTTCTCTAGACAAAGCTAAAACAAAGACTGACGTTACATTTATATCAAATCCTTTTCAAATGGAACTTATTTATAAGCAAATAACTTATACAGCCAGATGACTACAGATTTCCTGGTGCTTGCCGCATAGGGTCAAATAGGTTTTTACTATGAACAGGATGCATTTTGTTGTAGCTTCAGCACAAACAACACCGCCGTATTGCTATTGGGCACGTACGATGAACCACAGACCGCGGAGGGGGGAGGGGGGAGGGGGGAGGAACTGGGGGCCGGCATAGCCCTTCCCCCACTATTTRCCAATATCYGCTAAATCTTCAASTTATAGGCCCCTAAATTTTAGTTTTTATGCCGAAGTTAGTCTACTATAATTTCAAGTCTAGGCTACTCACTTCCTCAATAATTGTCCACAGTGTCAAACTATTTGCTAATATTCATTAAAGTCTTCGAGTCTTATAGGCAGAAAGTGGTATTGGCCTAAAAATGATTGCCCATYACGTACAGTAAACAACATCAAATATGCATATGACAGACAACAGAGTTGTTACAAACCACCATGCAATATGGTTGACACTTTTAAAATCTACGTACACGACATAGTGAATATCATTCAACATAAGATATTTCTTCACCTAATCGCAAGGGTTCGCAAGGGTAAGAATTCAAGTCAAATGGTATGTTTTAAGCTAATACAATGAACATTGTTAGAAGGCCTTAAGCAAGAACTGAACATATTCCCTTTGTCTTTATTTTCTCGATCAATCTTAACTTTACGACTAGTAATTATAATTCTGTGGCGTGGAAAAGGCGTACAAAGACCCTCTCCCTCGTGAAACATTATTTTATCGATGGATGCGCCATTGAATTTTTTTTTTAATATCTCATGTCCCAAGGCAATGTCAAT